AATCTTTTGGATTTTCCTTTCTGGAATTTTTCTTTGGGTTGGAATCTCTGGGATTTTCCTTCCTGGGATTTTCCAGCCATGGGATGGGGGCTTTGGGGACCTTTTCAGCCCCATAAGGTCCAACCCTGATGTCACTCTGCTCCCCTTCCTCAGGCCACCCCATATTTGGGCTCGGCAAGTTCTTCCGTTCTCGTGGTAAGTACTGGAGTTTTGGGGGAACTGGGAACCAGTTTTTGGGGGAACTGTGGCAACTGGGAACCAGTTTGTCCAGCCCATCCCTTACTGGGGCCGGAGACACACTGGTGATGTGTCACCATCTCTCTGCAGAGGAGAGCCACAGTCGGGAAGAGCAAGGTAAGAACTGGGAATTGTGGGGCCAGACCCCGTGATGGCTATCACTCATCCCAGTGCACCCAGTAAATCCCAGTGCACCCCAGGGAATCCCCTCCATTGTATTCCCACCCATCTTAGTACACCCCAGTAAATCCCAGTGCTTCCTATAGTCCCCCATTGTATTCCCACTTATCCCAGTGCCCCCCAGTTGTTCCCAGTGAGACCCTCATTGTATTCCCAGTTATACCAGTGCCCACCAGTAACCCCCACAGTGCATCACTCCCCGTCTACTCCTTGCCCTCTTTCCCCCCTTGCCCATTCCTATTGCCCATCTGTGGGATGTCCCCAAATCCCAAACCCAAACCCAAATCCCCTTCCCAAACCCAAATACCCTTCCTGAACCCAAATCCCAAACCCAAATCCCAAACTCAAATCCCCTTCCCAAACCCAAATACCCTTCCTGAACCCAAATCCCAAACCCAAATCCCAAACTCAAATCCCCTTCCCAAATCCAAATCCCAAATCCAAACCCAAATACCAAACCCAAATCCCAAATCCCCAGTACAAATCCAAATCCCAAATCCAAACCCAAATCCCAAACCCAAATCCCAAATTCCTAACCCAAATCCCAAATCTCAAACCCAAACCCAAATCCCAAATCCCAAACCCCCTTCCCAACCCCAAATCTCCTTCCCAAAGTCAAATCCCCTTCCTGAACCGAACCCAAATCCCAAACCCAAATCCCAAGTCCAACCCAAATATCAAACCCAAATCCCCTTCCTGAACCAAACCCAAATCCCAAACCCAAACCCAAATCCCCATCCCAAACCCAAATCCCCATCCCAAACCCCCTATCCAAACCCAAATCCCAAACCCAACCGCAACCCAAATCTCCTTCCCAAACCCAAATTGCAAGCCCAAACCCAACCCAAATCATCTTCCTTGTCCCTCCACTCCCAAAGCCCCTTCCACAATCCTCAGAGTTTGGGATTTTGTCCCCTGTCCCATTTTCTCCTGACCCCATCCACCCCTTCAGGCCTTCCTCCTCCTCCTCCTCCTCCTTTTCGTCCTCTTCATCCTCCTCCTCCCCCACAGTGCCAGGCCTTCATCAACCCTGTCCCAATCCCTTGGTGTCCCCAGATCCCCATTTGCCCATCTCTGAGGGCTCCCCTTCACCCCAACCCTCCCATCCCTTACTGGGACTGGGAGCACCTTACTGGGACTGAGGGCACTTTACTGGGAGTGGGGACACCCCGGTGACATCTTGGGGTCTCTCCGCAGGGGGCAGTGAGAGCCTCTCAAGTGAGGAGATCTGAGGTGAGCACCCTGAGTTCTGCAGGGCCTGGACCCTCCCCTGGCATGGCCACCACCCTTGGGGTCATCCCAGTGTGCCCCAGTACACCCCAGTGCCTCCCAGTGTCCCCCAGTACCACCCTGACCTTTTGGGGCAGCATCATCCAGCTGCCCTTTGGAGGCTCCATGGGGTCAGGAACGGCTCCAGGTCCTTCCATGGGGTCAGGAACCTCTCCAGGTCACAGTTTGGGCTCTGGCTTTAGGATCCGGACCATTGGTGACACTCGTGTGCCAACCCCTCCAGCGGCAGGAGGAGATCGCCGTCCCTGGAGAACCCCACCCCGAACCCCTGGGAACTCCCCCAGAATGATCAATAAACCCTCAGCAGAACTTGGTGTCTGTGTGTGGGAATGGGACTCCAGGTCCATCCATGGGGTCAGGAACTGTCCCAGGTCCATCCATGGTTTCAGGAACTGTTCCAGGTCCATCCATGGGATCAGGAACTGCTCCAGGTTGATTCACGGAGTCAGGAACTGTCCCAGGTCCATCCATGGTTTCAGGAACTGTCCTAGGTCCATCCATGGGGTCAGGAGCTATCTCAGGTCCATCCATGGGGTCAGGAACTGCTCCATGTCCATCCATGGGGTCAGGAACTGCTTCAGGTCCATCCATGGGGTCAGGAGCTATCTCAGGTCCATCCATGGGGTCAGGAACTGCTCTGGATATATCCATGGGGTCAGGAACTGTCCCAGGTCTATCCATGGGATCAGGAACTGCTCCAGGTTGATTCACGGAGTGAGGAACTGTCCCAGGTCCATCCATGGTTTCAGGAACTGTCCTAGGTCCATCCATGGGGTCAGGAACTGTCCTAGGTCCATCCATGGGGTCAAGAACTGCTTCAGGTCCATCCATGGGGTCAAGAACTGTTCCAGGTCCATCCATGGGATCAGGAACTGCTCCAGGTTGATTCACGGAGTCAGGAACTGTCCCAGGTCCATCCATGGGGTCAGGAACTGCTCTGGATATATCCATGGGGTCAGGAACTGCTTCAGGTCCATCCATGGGGTCAGGAACTGCTCCAGGTCCATCCATGGGATCAGGAACTGCTCCAGGTTGATTCACGGAGTCAGGAACTGTCCCAGGTCCATCCATGGTTTCAGGAACTGTCCTAGGTCCATCCATGGGGTCAGGAACTGCTTCAGGTCCATCCATGGGGTCAGGAGCTATCTTAGGTCCATCCATGGGGTCAGGAACTGCTCTGGATATATCCATGGGGTCAGGAAGTGTTCCAGGTCCATCCATGGGGTGAGGAACTTCTCCAGGTTCATCCATGGGGTCAGGAACTGCTCCAAGTCCATCTGATGCCTTCTGAAGGCTGACCTAGAACAGAGACTGGACGGAGCTAAGGAATAAACTATGGATTTATTAAGAGGCCTCAATGGATCCACTTTGGGCAGAACAATCCAAAATGGCCACAAAATGGACAACAGGTCACGGGGTGTCATACTTTGATAAGCTTTGGTCCATCAGAATTTTGGAGCTAATTGTCCTATCACAGCCCCAGCCCATGGAGTCCCATCCTTCTTGTTTTCTCTCTTTGGTCCACATTGTTTGTACTCTTGGGCCTTAGATCTGGATCAGCTGCCCTTGGGTTCTGGCTAGAGAAGGAATTATATGAATTTTATATGAAACCCAGACCCAAACATCAAAACAGCACAAAATAAAAATAAAAAATAAAAAAAAAAAAGGAAAAAAAAAAAGCTAAAACCTGAGGTATCACCAGAGGAATGAAGAAAAACGCATTGGCAATGGCAGTAGTGGTACAGCACTGCTGCACTGGACTCCAGCTCGTCCTGGAGTTCCAGCATGTCCAGCAGCGCTCAGTGGTGGAGTCACTTTATTCAAGCCACAATAATCCACAGTCAATCTCCATTCTCCTTCAGATTTACACACAGGCCAGGTGGGGCTGTTGAAGGGTGAGTGGGTTTTGCTGATCACCCCTTGGCTCTCCAGCTCACGGATCTGTTAGAGTTTGTGCCTGGGACAGGCACTGAGCAATGTGGGGACACAGGAGAGGTTATGGCAGACTGGGGAGGGCTCTCCCAGCACAGCCAGAGTTCATCTGGTGTTCAGAGCTGCCCCCACAAGGACACCCCTTGCCTCCCTTTCTTTGTTTTACTTTGTCTCCTTGGAATCCTCGGCTTTGCCCCTTTGATGTCCAGTGTGGTTTTTGCTTGAAGTCGTTTCTCCACACATCTAGGTCAGATAAATCATTAACAGAGATATTTGGGAACACCTCCCTCACCCAGGATGACAAAACTTCCAGTTCCTGTCTAGGGACCTGTCGGAATCTGTGGGTATTGGTGATTCCGAGATTGTAGAAAGTCTCTGTCTTTCTGCCCCGTTGCCAAAGCAGAAGCCATAATTCGTCTGTGCTGGTTTCAAGGTTGTTTATTCTGTTTATCTCTACCATGTTCTGCTGCCCTGCCGCAGCTCTGTCCTGCAGGGCAGCGTGTGGGGCTCTGCCCTCAGTGGGATGGTACAAACATTAAATATCAGAAATTACGTGTACTATATTTACAATAATGTGCCAATATCTATCATCTACGTTGGACAGTGTGTCCCCAGCCTAAACTAATAGAAAAATGCCAACACCACCAAGAACATGGAGGTAAGGAAGAAGAAGGAGGAAGAACAGGTTCAGGTCCACTTTCCTCCATCTTAGAACTCCTGACCCCCCTGTACAAAGTAAAAACCCCCTGTACAGGTGTTAAAACCCCCCTGTACAATACTAAAAATTTTACCCTCTAATTTGTGACTACTTTTACTATACCATCTAACCCTCTGTGACTGCTTGTTCCACCCTCAAAGTTGGTAATTCATTCCATGGTTCAAACTCAAAATCACAGCTGTTTTCAGCTGCTTGCCAGGGTCTAAAATGCTTCTGACCAAGGCCTGGAACCTCTGAAAATGTCTGAGGGACATTTTGAGTTCCGACAGGGACCCGAATTGGATGCTGCCTCATCGATATCTCTGGATTATTAACGACATTGACTCAGTTTTTGATAGGGAACCCCCATTCTGATTCCTTGACAGCTTTCCCGACCCTAATGGCTCTGCTGCTCTCGGGTGTAGCCCCTGCTCCGACCAGCAGCTCACGGGAATCGGCCCCTTCCAGCAGCTTCTCCGAATGTCCAACCCACCGAGATGTTCACCTCCGGAGGAATTTGTCTGGCTTTTGTCAAGGACTCCTGGCACAGTTTCTTCTTGTTGAGCCCAAACATTTCCATGCAGACACCAGTCTGTGGGTCCCCCCGATGGGGAGACCCCTAAAAAGTTCTGTGCCAGGAATGAGAGATGGACGGGACTCTTGGTTTTTAATTCTGCAGGTTATTGTTTATTTTTCTCTTATCAGAAATTCTGCACGCCGTCTACATCTCAGACTTAGCGTACAAAGAGAAGGCGCCAAAAGTCACAAGACACACAGGTTCAAGGTTTTTTAAAGCTATTTCATCCAATTAATTCTTAGAACACACTTTATTTCTTCCTTTCTACCAATAACTATTTATTTTTCTGTCCACACAACACCTGCATTGCGGTTCTTTCTAATCAATCACCCTGTGCTCCCAACACTGCAGAAAATGGAGTAGATGAAGAACAAGGAGATCAGACAATGCCTGAAATTCTCCATCTTGTCTCCAATCCACCTCCATACTAAAACCCCCAAAATTTAAGTTTTTCACCATGTGATAAACTATACTACTATCTACTTCGCACACTCGTAGATTCCAATTCATCTCAAAGCCTTGGAAGCTTTCTCCATGGATGAAGGTTAAAAGCAGTGCTCTCCTGGGGATCAGGACATCTCAGGACAGGCAGGAAAATATTCCCTCCATTCCGACAGAGAAGAGTGCCTCTGGCATATGGGAAGGAAATTCTTGGATAATTTAGGACAAACCTCCTGTAAAAGACAAAAAGTCCATAATGGAACTTCTACATGATGCATTCCTAGAAAACTGACACACTATTGAACCCAAGAGAGGAAAAATAATTATAAATATGAAAAATAAATTAAATTTTCCTGTGTAATAATGTTGGGAAAATCCCCTATTATGGGATCCCATGAAATATCTAAATTTTGGGAAAACATGAATAACCAAGGAAAGGAGCACTGAAAAGCACCAGACAGCTTATTCTGGATATGTGGGGAAAAAGCTTATCCAAAACTCCCTCCCCTGTGGAAAGGAAGTTGTACTCTAGGAATTATACAACAAGGATTCTTTCTGTTACCAAATCAAGGCAGAGAGAATTTAGGAATACCAGTCTACAATGCCTTAAACAGAGACAAAAGAGAATTAATCAGAGAAACTGATTAATTGGGGGACATCAAAAGTGGGGTGAAGAGGAGTGGCCTCCTGAAGGAATGATACAAACACAAGGTCCTGCCACCTGGGCACGGGGTGGGAGTTGAGGATATGGCACCCCAATAGATATGGGAAACCAAATCATAGACTCCAAGTGGTTGTGGAAATCATAACTAATGAAACAGCCGGGGCCACACTGTGACATGAAGTAAGTTACAGAAGCAGGTTAGATGGAAAAGGAAAAGGAAAAGAACTTAAAAAAAGTAAACTGTATTTTCTGACTCCACTATCCATACAATAGCAAAAATGACAGTGGATTGGAGGGTGAAACTGTCCGTGGTTCTGGCTGGCACTGGGTCTGTGGTTCTGGCTGGGACAGACTCTGGGTTCTGGCTGGCACTGGGTCTCTGGGTTCTGGCTGGCACTGGGTCTGTGGTTCTGGCTGGCACTGGGTCTGGGTTCTGGCTGGCACTGGGTCTGGGTTCTGGCTGGCACTGGGTCTGGGTTCTGGCTGGCACTGGGTCTGCGGTTCTGGCTGGCACTGGGTCTGTGGTTCTGGCTGGCACTGGGTCTGGGTTCTGGCTGGCACTGGGTCTGGGTTCTGGCTGGGACAGACTCTGGGTTCTGGCTGGGATTGGGTCTGTGGTTCTGGCTGGCACTGGGTCTGTGGTTCTGGCTGGCACTGGGTCTGTGGTTCTGGCTGGGACTGGGTCTGTGGTTCTGGCTGGCACTGGGTCTGTAGTTCTGGCTGGTACTGGGTCTGTGGTTCTGGCTGGGACAGACTCTGGGTTCTGGCTGGGTCTGTGGTTCTGGCTGGCACTGGGTCTGTGGTTCTGGCTGGCACTGGGTCTGTGGTTCTGGCTGGCACTGGGTCTGTGGTTCTGGCTGGGACTGGCTCTGGGTTCTGGCTGGCACTGGGTCTGTGGTTCTGGCTGGCACTGGCTCTGGGTTCTGGCTGGCACTGGGTCTCTGGTTCTGGCTGGCACTGGCTCTGTGGTTCTGGCTGGCACTGGGTCTGTGGTTCTGGCTGGCACTGGGTCTGGGTTCTGGCTGGCACTGGGTCTGTGGTTCTGGCTGGCACTGGCTCTGGGTTCTGGCTGGCACTGGGTCTGTGGTTCTGGCTGGGACTGGTCTGTGGTTCTGGCTGGCACTGGGTCTGTGGTTCTGGCTGGGACTGGGTCTGTGGTTCTGGCTGGGACAGACTCCGGGTTCTGGCTGGCACTGGGTCTGGGTTCTGGCTGGCACTGGGTCTGTGGTTCTGGCTGGCACTGGGTCTGGGTTCTGGCTGGGATTGGGTCTGTGGTTCTGGCTGGGACTGGGTCTGTGGTTCTGGCTAGGACTGGCTCTGGGTTCTGGCTGGGACTGGGTCTGTGGTTCTGGCTGGCACTGGGTCTGTGGTTCTGGCTGGCACTGGGTCTGGGTTCTGGCTGGCACTGGGTCTGGGTTCTGGCTGGCACTGGGTCTGGGTTCTGGCTGGCACTGGGTCTGGGTTCTGGCTGGGACTGGGTCTGGGTTCTGGCTGGCACTGGGTCTGTGGTTCTGGCTGGGACTGGGTCTGGGTTCTGGCTGGCACTGGGTCTGTGGTTCTGGCTGGCACTGGCTCCGGGTTCTGGCTGGGACAGACTCTGGTTCTGGCTGGGATTGGGTCTGTGGTTCTGGCTGGGACTGGATCTGTGGTTCTGGCTGGCACTGGGTCTGGGTTCTGGCTGGCACTGGGTCTGGGTTCTGGCTGGCACTGGGTCTGGGTTCTGGCTGGGACTGGGTCTGTGGTTCTGGCTGGCACTGGCTCTGGGTTCTGGCTGGCACTGGGTCTGGGTTCTGGCTGGGACTGGGTCTGTGGTTCTGGCTGGCACTGGGTCTGTGGTTCTGGCTGGGATTGGGTCTGTGGTTCTGGCTGGCACAGGGTCTGTGGTTCTGGCTGGCACTGGGTCTGTGGTTCTGGCTGGCACTGGGTCTGGGTTCTGGCTGGCACTGGATCTGTGGTTCTGGCTGAGACAGACTCTGAGATCTGGCTGGCACTGGGTCTGGGTTCTGGCTGGCACTGGGTCTGTGGTTCTGGCTGGGATTGGGTCTGTGGTTCTGGCTGGCACTGGGTCTGTGGTTCTGGCTGGCACTGGGTCTGGGTTCTGGCTGGGACAGACTCCGGGTTCTGGCTGGCACTGGGTCTGTGGTTCTGGCTGGCACTGGGTCTGTGGTTCTGGCTGGCACTGGGTCTGTGGTTCTGGCTGGGACTGGGTCTGTGGTTCTGGCTGGGACTGGGTCTGGGTTCTGGCTGGCACTGGGTCTGTGGTTCTGGCTGGCACTGGCTCCGGGTTCTGGCTGGGACAGACTCTGGGTTCTGGCTGGCACTGGGTCTGTGGTTCTGGCTGGGACTGGGTCTGTGGTTCTGGCTGGCACTGGGTCTGGGTTCTGGCTGGCACTGGGTCTGTGGTTCTGGCTGGCACTGGCTCTGGGTTCTGGCTGGCACTGGGTCTGTGGTTCTGGGACTGGGTCTGTGGTTCTGGCTGGGACTGGGTCTGTGGTTCTGGCTGGGACAGACTCTGGGTTCTGGCTGGCACTGGGTCTGGGTTCTGGCTGGCACTGGCTCTGGGTTCTGGCTGGGACTGGGTCTGTGGTTCTGGCTGGCACTGGGTCTGTGGTTCTGGCTGGGACAGACTCTGGGTTCTGGCTGGGATTGGGTCTGTGGTTCTGGCTGGCACTGGGTCTGTGGTTCTGGCTGGCACTGGGTCCATGGTTCTGGCTGGCACTGGGTCTGTGGTTCTGGCTGGCACTGGGTCTGTGGTTCTGGCTGGGATTGGGTCTGTGGTTCTGGCTGACACTGGGTCTGTGGTTCTGGCTGGCACTGGGTCTGTGGTTCTGGCTGGGATTGGGTCTGTGGTTCTGGCTGACACTGGGTCTGTGGTTCTGGCTGGGACTGGGTCTGTGGTTCTGGCTGGCACTGGGTCTGTGGTTCTGGCTGGGACTGGGTCTGTGGTTCTGGCTGGCACTGGGTCTGGGTTCTGGCTGGCACTGGGTCTGGGTTCTGGCTGGCACTGGGTCTGTGGTTCTGGCTGGCACTGGGTCTGTGGTTCTGGCTGGCACTGGGTCTGTGGCTCTGGCTGGGACTGGGTCTGTGGTTCTGGCTGGCACTGGGTCTGTGGTTCTGGCTGGCACTGGGTCTGTGGTTCTGGCTGGGACTGGGTCTGTGGTTCTGGCTGGCACTGGGTCTGTGGTTCTGGCTGGCACTGGATCTGGGTTCTGGCTGGCACTGGGTCTGTGGTTCTGGCTGGGACTGGGTCTGTGGTTCTGGCTGGCACTGGGTCTGTGGTTCTGGCTGGCACTGGGTCTGGGTTCTGGCTGGCACTGGGTCTGGGTTCTGGCTGGGTCAGACTCTGGGTTCTGGCTGGCACTGGGTCTGGGTTCTGGCTGGGACTGGGTCTGTGGTTCTGGCTGGCACTGGCTCTGGGTTCTGGCTGGCACTGGGTCTGTGGTTCTGGCTGGCACTGGGTCTGGGTTCTGGCTGGCACTGGGTCTGGGTTCTGGCTGGGTCAGACTCTGGGTTCTGGCTGGCACTGGGTCTGTGGTTCTGGCTGGCACTGGGTCCTTGACTATTTCCTGGTGCCAACTGCAACTTCCCCACTGCAATATTTCCAGAGTGCCTTCAAATCTGCTCATTGTCCACAGCAATTTCCAGGTTTTGATTCTTCTCAGGATGTGTCCCCTAACACACACTGCAGGGGGATCCAAACAGAGCTACCAAGGATCTGCTCTGAGACCACTCCCACCCTCCCCTCCTCTCCACTCCGTTTTCTTAACTAGTTCTGCTCTCATGTCTCCAAAAGGAATCAGTAAATCAGGGTGTGTGATAATTCTCTTTCCCAGACATAGGGCTCCTGGCTCTAGCTTCTCTGAGGTCCAAGGAGTGCTAAAAGCTGCTGGGAGATGAGCTCAGCCTCTCCATTTTCAGATGGGAAGGAGAGGCCAGGGGAATGGCCAGACATGGACTGAAAAGGAGATGGGATTTCACAGAGAAGGAGCTCCCAGGGGACAGAGGCCATGTTTGTGCTCCAGGTGCCCATGGGGACACTTGGCAGGCTCCACTGTCCTTCCTGAGAGGAAGGACCAGCATCACTGGGACACTGATCGTGTCCCTGAGGGGACACCTTGTCTCAGCAATGACACTGGGCCTTTGCACTTCAAAAAGACCAAGAAGTCTCTGGGCTCCTTTCCCTGCCAAAGAGGACCCATCTTCAATGATCCAGGAAAGGGACACTGTTCATGGCAAGTTTTGGGAACGGAAAGCTTTGGGAAAGCTTTTTGTCTGGAGCTGACAGAAGAGAAGCCACACCAGGACAGACTCAGCACTCCTGAGCCAGTGAATGGGGACAAGGCCTGAGCCCAGGATTCCCTTAAGCTCCTCCTCTGGGGCTCTCCTAATCCCATGGCCCTTCTCTCCCTCAAGTGTCCACCTCCCAAGGTTCAAGAGCACATGGGCTCTGGAAAGAATCACAGGATCACAGAATATCCTGAGCTGCAAAGGGCACACAGGGATCATTGATTCCAGCTCCTGGCTCTACCCAGGACACCCCAACAATCCCATCCTGTGCCTGGGGCGTTGTCCAAGCGCTCCTGGAGCTCTGGCAGCCCTGGGGCCATGACCAGACCCTGGGGAGCATGTTCAGTGCCTCAGCACCCTCTGGGGAAGAACCTTTCCCTGATATCCAGCCTACCCTGGCACAGTTTCAGCTGTTACCTCAGGTCTGGTCACGAGAGAGGAGAGAGGAACAAAAACCTTCTCCTACCCTGACAAATCACCAAATGGGCAAGACTGGAAGGGACCACTTAAGGTCTTCTAGTCCAAACTCCCACTCAAACAGGGTCTCCCAGGGACCATCAGTCAGATTTAGATCTAGTTGGCTTTTGAATTTTTCCACAGAAGGAGTCTCCACAACCTCTCTCAGAACTGCTCCCTGTGCTGTTACCCTCACAGTAATGAAGGTCTTGCTTGTGTTTAGGTGGAATTTCCTTTGTTTCTGTTCCTGTCCATTTCCTGTCATCCCATTACTCAGCACCACCAAGAAGAGCCCAGCTCCATCCTCCTGACATCCACCTTCAAACACTTCTGCCCATTGATGGCACCCCCTCCTTAGCCTTTTCTTCTCCAGACCAAACAGGCCCGGTTCCTTCAGCCTCTCCTCACCAGAGGGATGCTCCAGGCCTGTGATCATCTTTGTAGTTCCTCAGCTGGGCCTATCCCAGAGCTCCACGTTTCTCTTGTACTGAGGAACTCAGCACGGGACACAGAGCTCCAGATGTGCCCCACTAGGGCTGCCCCTCCCTTGGAGGTTGGCAAAGCTCTTCCCAAGGCAGCCCAGGCACTCATTGGCCTTCCTGGCCACAAAGACACATTGCTGACTCTTGGACAGCTCTTTGTCCACCACAACTCCCAGGTCCTTCTCTGCAGAGCTACTTTCCTTACCAGGTTCTTTGAATTGCTTTGGATGGATGGACTGCAGCAGGGTGGGGAAAGATCACAGGCCCTGTGGGTATTCCTGAGGCTTTGGCAAAGGCCTGGGGGGCAGGATGGAGAGCAGGGATCACCTCTCTCCATCTCCCCAGACAGAATCTGAGGGAGACAACACTCTGTCATGAGGAAGGTGAGTGGGCAGCGGGATTTGGACCCTCTTACCACATCTCAGGTCATGTGAGGCCATACCTACACACACTCTCCATAGACAAGAGGGCCAAAAAGGGCTTTGAGAACCTGCAGAGAATACTTCAGCACAGAAGAGTTTCCGGGGCACAGATCACAAATGCTGAGAGGCTCAGAAAACCTGACTTCAGTTGCAGGATGGATTGTGCTGCTGCATCCCATGACTACAGTCAGGTTCTTTGGGCATTTACCCACGTAAAGACTGTCCCTCCCCATCCCCTCTGAGCAGCTGAGCAGCAGGAGCTCACAGGGTGGTTGGCCTGTAGAGCAGATTTTGCCTTCAGAGAGACGGAAGTCTGCTTAATCATGGCCCTGCTCACCTTGTTACTTCTCCTGGTCTGCTCTGAGAAGCTGAAACCCGTGCTATGATGACTCCACCATTTGCTGTAAACGTTCTTCCAGACTTTCAAGTCTTTGTGAGAGCTGCTGGAAATTTCTAATCGTCGTGGCACTTGAAATTTCCCCCTCATTCTGTCCTGTGAAGAAAGAAGAATGCCACTGGGTCACTAATGATTCCTCCTTGAGGGGCAGACAAGCTCTCTGACACGAGGATACCCAAAGGCTCTGGTTTCATGTCCCTGGCAGAGGTCTCTGCTCTCACAGACACATCCAGGCTCTGCCCAGGGAAGCTCCTCTCCCTGCAGATCCTCACCAGGGAAACAAGGCTGAGCTCACATGTGCCCCAGCATGGGACCAGCGCTGGGGGAGCAGGAGAAGGGCGGTGGGGAAAGGGAGAGGGACGGGGACAGCACTTCAAGGGGGGACCCTTGGCAAGTCTCAGGCAATGAGAGAGCTCCCAGCACAAAAAAGTCTGTTTGGCAATGGCCCTGCTCACCTCGGTTCCCCTCCAGCTGTGCTCTGCTGTGCTGACACTCACACTGTCCGGACTCCTGTGATTCTTTGAGATATTCCTGCAAGGCTTTCATTGTTTTTATGAGCTCCTGAGAGGTTTCATCTGTCCTAGATTCCACGGCATTTGTGGTCTCCTCCTCATTTCTCTTTCCTGTAGAAAAGGATTGGTGTCAGTGGGACACTGACATTGCTCGCTTGATGGGGAGACCTGAGGACCCCATCCTGCCTGAGGACAAGCAAATCCTCTGTTTTAAAGTCTCTTCTTGAGGGTTTCTTTTTGAGGCTTCTTCTGGTTGGTTTTTGGTTTCCTCTACTCCAGGCTGTTCTCCAGGCTGGAAAAAGCCCACTGCTGGGACATCTCTGCACCCTGGGATCCCGGGAATCTGTGTAGGGATGGGCAATATAACAAAGGACTGGCTGGAGGCCTTTGGAAATGGGAATTTATGGACAGGTGGGATTGCTCCATCTGACAGCAGCAGGCCCGCATGCATGACAGACCTCTGGATCTCCTTCCTGCTTGGCAGGGTTTAGTTTCCAGGCACTGTGGGCAAGGACTGGCACTCACCTGCAGAAAGGTTTTTGCCTTTTGTCACTGTACCTAAACCCAGGTTGAGATTCCTCCTTTAGTGTTCAAAGAAAGGAAAGGAAATCCCAGAATTGATGTGCTATGTCTTTGAAATCGTTACCAATTGCGAGGAACACCCCCTGCTAGAGCAGGACGTGTCCCTGGCCAAAGGAGGTCACCCCTCTGGCCAAACTGACCCCAGCCCAAGGGCCAGGCCTCTGCTGTGCTCTGGAAGGGGTTCTGCAGGGAATGTGCCCAGGGGAGAGAGAGACCTTCACTGGCCTCACTTCTCTCAGGGATAACACATCCCATCCCATCCCATCCCATCCCATCCCATCCCATCCCATCCCATCCCATCCCATCCCATCCCATCCCATCCCAGCCCAGCCCAGCCCATCCCAAGGGTTCCCAAATGTGGTCACAGACAAGAGCAATGGGACCCAGCACACTTACTTGATTCGTCAGATGCAATTGCAAGGATTTTCTCAATCACACTCCTAGCAACCGCACATACTGGACATCAGGTACACATGAATATAAAATCAAACAGAAAAACAGGACATTTAACAAGGATCATTCCCCAAAGAAACTCCAGGACTGCCCTGAGCAGGTTCTGGGGCAGAGCACATCCCACACCTGGCCCAGGAGCCAAGAGGTCCTGTGCACCCAGAGCCCCTCAGCAGTGCTGGGGGGTTCCTGACCCTCAGGGCCCACTGAGGCTCACTTCTCTCAGGGATAACACATCCCATCCCATCCCATCCCATCCCATCCCATCCCATCCCACCCATCCCATCCCATCCCATCCCATCCCATCCCATCCCATCCCAAGGGTTCCCAAGGAGGGCCTCTGACAAGAGCAATGGGATCCAGCACACTTACTGATAGTTTCAATTATCATTTCTACTCCTTTGAATATCTTTGATCTGCCTTTCTTAGCCCGACTGCCACCATACACAGTTGCTGCACATCAGGTACACATGAAAAGAGATTCAAACAGAAAAACAGGATATTTAACAAGGATCTTTCCCCAAAGAAACTCCAGGACTGCCCTGAGCAGGTTCTGGGGCAGAGCACATCCCACACCTGGCCCAGGAGCCAAGAGCTCCTGTGCACCAGGAGCCCCTCAGCAGTGCTGGGGGTTCCTGACCCTCAGGGCCCACTGAGGCTCTCCTGGGCCAGGAAGCTGCCTCAGCTGCCACAGCACTCGGGCACCACACAGGTGCCTCAGTCCCACCAGAGGCACCCACCAGAGGGTGAGACTCTTCTGCCTCACACTTGGGAGTGGAGAGGGATCTCCCAGGTCCCTTCTCTGTCCCTTGGCACATTCACAGCCTGACCCTCAAAGCCCTGCTCAGCAACACCCCCTGCTAGAGCAGGACGTGTCCCTGGCCAAAGGAGGTCACCCCTCTGGCCAAACTGATCCCAGCCCAAGGGCCAGGCCTCTGCTGTGCTCTGGAAGGGGTTCTGCAGGGAATGTGCCCATGGGAGAGACCTCACTGGCCTCACTTCTCTCCGGGATAACACATCCCATCCCATCCCATCCCATCCCATCCCATCCCATCCCATCCCATCCCATCCCATCCCATCCCATCCCATCCCATCCCATCCCATCCCATCCCATCCCATCCCATCCCATCCCATCCCATCCCAAGGATGGTGTCCTAGGGTGACTTTATGATGCTCGTATCCCCAGTTGTGTGCTCTGTTTATGATGGATATTACATTCTGTGCCTTCAAACGGGCTCTGAGACCAAAGGTGGGGAGAAGAAGAACCACAGAGTTTTGTTTTCAGCCCGCACTCGCTCCTCCACAATCTGCTGGAACACAGAACTGCTCTGTGTTGTCTGGGCACGGACGGGGCTGAACACTGCACTCCTTTGCTTTTTAGTTCCTTTAGCTAGCTGAGCAGCCCAAGTTTTCCCTGGACCGGTTTTCTTTCCCTTTTTGTGGATCCATCTGAAGCTGCTCTGGACCGGGACCTGGGCAAACACCGAGAGCTCGCACGTTGCAGCCCCCACAGCCTCCTCTGGGCAGCAGCAGCTTTGGGAGAGCTGGAGGGACCAATAACAGAGCAACCACTGCCGGGAAAGATCTTTGAATTTGTCATCTCTTCAGAGCGGCGAAGGAGTTTTGTCACCTGCTATTGTTCATTTTGTGTGCTGGGTGCTCTGCTTGTTTAAATAAACGGGATTTTCCCACTTCTCTCTGAGGAAATTCATCCCAAACCGATTGGGGGGAGGGGCTGTGTGGGTTGGCTATCTGGGGGGGCCTTTTTGGAGGTTTTTTCCTAAATTTGCATTAAACCAGGACAAATAATTGGCACCCAATATGGAGCTCAAGAGAGTAGAAAAAACCCTGTTCTAATTGTATTTTGGTTCCAATTACTCTGTGTTGCTGTAGAGCAGTTAGTAGCCACATTGTTTGAATTGATAATGTCTCCTGGGGTGGAGGCCTGCATGTTTCTGATCCCGAGGGTTTTTTTGAGGTCTTAATACTTCTATTGTCCCTAGGTTTCTTTTCTAATCCAGGAATAGCTCCAGTATTGTCCCTAATACGTAGTTTTTGCAGTAGAAGGGCACTGACCAGAATATCCATCAGGCTGGGCTTGGGTGTCATGGCTTCCAGGGGGTTTATAAAGGTGCTGAGGTCTGTTCCAGGAATGTATGGTTCATGGTTATGGTTGTGCAGCCAGTTTGTTAGAGGGGAAGTAGGGGATGAGGCTTTTCAGCCTTTGCTTTCCTTCTTCTCCTCTGAATCTGTTACCTCCCTATTGGAGAATGTTCAGTTTCCCCTGACTGTTAAGGAGACCATCTTCCTGGTGTTTAATCTGGTAAGCTTTCTCTATACAGTCTGCAGTCTCTCTAGAATGAGGGCTGAGATTTCTAGAGGGGCTGATGAGACCTCTGACCCAGGAGTAGACCCAGGTGTGAGAAATCCTGAGTGGTGTGGGAAATGGGAGGAGATGGGCCAAATCTTAAAGGAATTTTCTGACCCTATAGCCTGGGACTTTCCAAGTGAACAAATTCAGAATCCGGCTGAGGTGGCGAAGTACCACAGAGGAAGAGGGTAAGGAGATAAATCAGCAGCTGTCCCAGTCACTCAGGCTGCAGTAAACACCCCCGGCTCAAAGCCAGCAGCTAAACCAGACAGTGAGCCTGGGCCAGCAGCTAAACCAGACTGTGAGCCTGGGCTAGCAGCTAAACCAGACAGTGAGCCTGGGCTAGCAGCTAAACCAGACTGTGAGCCTGGGCTAGCAGCTAAACCAGACTGAAAGCCTCAACCTATGGCTGTTGCTACTAGCACAAGAAGTGGAAAGTGCACAGACAAGACCAATAGACCAGTGGATGATGATGATGATGATGATGATGATGATGATGATGATGATGATGATGATGGTGACGATGATGATGCAGGAAAAGGACCTTCAACACTTCCTGACATAAAACCAGGAGTCAAAGCAACAGGCACTAGTTCATAAGCCAGTACTGACTCCTTTTCCCTAAAGGACCTTCGTGGCCTAAGGAAGGATTACACTTGTGACCTGATGAGTCTGTAATTAGTTGGTTGGTCCGTCTTTGGGATGCTGCAGGTGAGGCTACAATTCTGGACGGCACTGAAGCAAGACATTTGGGATCCCTCACATGATAATGTCATGGACCAAGGAATGATGAGGGGGCTCACCCTCACAGCCTCTGGGCTTGGACAGTGTGGCACAAAGACACCTGTGTGCACACAATCTCTATATGCAGCAGACCCAGTGGAAGACTGTAGAACAAGGGATCCAACCTGAGACAACCTGACTGTAGAAAAAGGGATCCAACGCCTCAGAGAAATGGCAGTGGCAGAGATTATCTTCTCAGATGAAATAACAACTAGGAATCCAGACTTGGTACCATGTACATCTGTATGTGGTGAAAATTTGTACAGCTTGGGCCACATGAATACACTTCTGCCTTAGCAATAATGAAGCAAGATGAGAGGGATGAGACCGTGCTCGATATGGTGAAGAAGCTCCGAGCATATGCAGATGCTGTACATGGCCCAACCCATGCCAGAATTGCAGCAGTGGAAACACGTCTCAGAAATTAGAAGACAAGATGGAGGAGAATCACAAGAAACTCAGGGAGCAGATTAAAGAGGACCTTCTCCAAATCTCAGCAGTACAGATCAGAGGTTCTGGTATCCAACGCAGACGTTCCTCAGATGGTGAGAGAAGGTACACCCCACGAACTGAGCTGTGGTTCTTCCTGCGCGATTGGTGAGAAAACATGAGGAGATGGGACAGGAAATCTACTGGTGCTCTGGCACAACGGGTGCATGAATTGAAGGAAGGTAAGACTCAGAGAGGAAGTGCCACCAAAAGGAGAGCAGCTCCAGTTGCCCGTAGCTGAACTGCCAGGCATGATGATGATGATGATGATAACATGTCCAAACCCCTGGAAGGAACCTCTAAGACATACGCCCAAGGCAAGAAGGATAACCAGGCTTAGAGGGGCCCTGCCTCTAGCCAGGTAGATGCGAGGAAAAACCGTGTTTTCTGGACTGTGTGGATTCATTGGCCTGGCACATCTGAATAACAAGAATGCAAAACTTTGGTCGACACTGGTGCAAAATGCACATTAATTACATCTAGACACATGGGGGCAAAATCTGTCTCCATCGCTGCCGTGACAGGTGGATCACAGGACTTTACCGTGGTGGAAGATGATGTAAGTCTGGCAGGAAATGAGTGGAAGAAACACCCTATTGTGACTGGCCCAGAGGCCCCATGTATTTTGGGCATAGATTACCTTCGAAGGGGATATTTTAAAGACCCAAAGGGACTCAGGTGGGCATTTGGGATAGCAGCTGTAGCGACAGAGGGCATCCAGCAACTGAACACCTTGCCTGGACTGTCTGAGAATCCAACTACAGTAGGACTGTTGAAGGGAGAAGAACAAAAGGTACCAATTGCCACTTCAACAGTGCATTGCTGACAGTACAGAACAACTCGAGATGCTGTGGTTCCCATCCATAAGATGATCCAAGAGCTGGAGAGCCAAGGGGTGGTCAGCAAAACCCACTCACCCTTCAACAGCCCCATCTGGCCTGTGCGTAAATCTGAAGGAGAATGGAGATTGACTGTGGACTACCGTGCATTGAATGAAGTGACTCCACCACTGAGCGCTGCTGTGCCAGACATGCTGGAACTCCAGGACGAGCTGGAGTCCAAGGCAGCGAAGTGGCACGCCACTATTGATATTGCCAATGCATTTTTCTCCATTCCTCTGGCAGCAGAATGCAGGCCTCAGTTTGCCTTTAAATGGAGGGGTGTGCAGGACACCTGGAACCGACTGCCCCAGGGGTGGAAGGGTTCCCAAGTGTGGCCACAGACAAGAGAATGGGATCCAGCACACTTACTTGATTCATCGAGCACCATTTCTATGCCTTTGAATATCTTTGCTATCCCTTTCTTAGCCAGAATGCCATCAGCCACAGTTGCTGGACATCAGGTACATGTGCAAATAAAATCAAACAGAAAACCAGGATATTTAACAAGGATCTTTCTGCAGGGAATTCCAGGACTGCCCTGAGCAGGTTCTGGGGCAGAACACATCCCACACCTGGCCCAGGAGCCAAGAGCTCCTGTGCACCAGGAGCCCCTCAGCAGTGCTGGGGGTTCCTGACCCTCAGGGCCCACTGAGGCTCTCCTGGGCCAGGAAGCTGCCTCAGCTGCCACAGCACTCGGGCACCACACAGGTGCCTCAGTCCCACCAGAGGCACCCACCAGAGGGTGAGACTCTTCTGCCTCACACTTGGGAGTGGAGAGGGATCTCCCAGGTCCCTTCTCTGTCCCTTGGCACATCCACAGCCTGACCCTCAAAGCCCTGCTCAGCAACACCCCCTGCTAGAGCAGGACGTGTCCCTGGCCAAAGGAGGTCACCCCTCTGACCAAACTGATCCCAGCCCAAGGGCCAGGCCTCTGCTGTGCTCTGGAAGGGGTTCTGCAGGGAATGTGCCCAGGGGAGAGACCTTCACTGGCCCCACTTCTCTCAGGGATAACACATCCCATCCCATCCCATCCCATCCCATCCCATCCCATCCCATCCCATCCCATCCCAAGGGCTCCCAAGTGTGGCCACTGACAAGAGCAATGGGATCCATGACTCCACACTTACTTGTGGACGACGTTCGTCCTTCTTGGTTATGCTGAGATGAGCTCCTTGTTTCTGTGGACATTAGGTTCACCTGAAAAGGAAAAGAAAAATGAAAAAGAGGAAGATTCACTATGATATTTCCCCTTAGGATTTAAAATTGCATTTAAGAGCTTTTTTGGGACACATATATCGCTTATACTACACAAACCCCTGATCTACTCAGGGGTTTTCAATTTACTGATTTTCCATTGCATCCCTGCCCAAACAGAGTACAGCTCTTCCCAAGATGTTCACTCCTTGTTTCTTGTCTCCCGTATCCCTTTCTCTGGATTCACTCTGCAATGCAAGGGAAAAGAGGGGCAAAATCTCTGCGGTGAGCACAGCACTAGAGAAGATAACACAGTTGATAAGATGTTCTGTTGTACTCCCAGCTGGTCCCTAACCCATCTTGTCTGCCCGGGAGCTCTGAGAATTCTCACAGACACGCACATCATCTTCCTTGGCCAAAATTAAGACCTTCTGCTTTTGCAGAGTGCAGAACCTGGTGTTCAACCCCAGCACAATTTTCCATAAAGGAAAGGGACCATTTTCCATTCCTTCAGACTCAAATCCTGGAGGTTTTCCTGACCAGCTATGAAGAAATCTATGGTGAAAGGACAAGTGGCCTTGGCTGCCTGATGCCCACCAAACTTCTCTCACTCCCCCTCTTCAACTGGACAGGAGGAAAAATACGACAGAAGAGCTCACAGAGAGCCTGAACATCCCTCTCCAGGTGCCACCGTGGGCAAACCAGACCGGACTTGGGGACAATTGCTTTGCTTTCTCAGCAATTCCCAATAGAGCAGGAAGCTGAGGAACCAAGACAGGACTGAAACCACCTCACTGCCACTCTCCCCTCCTCCTGGTTGTGAACACACCTGGTGCAGGTGGCTGGGCCAGCTGCAAGCTGAGCTCCAGGTGGGAACCCGAGACAAGAGCTGGTGAACAGCCAACAAAGCCCAACAAAGGGCACCAAGAGCGGTGGCACAGCTGGGGAAGGGACAGCGAGAGACCCAGCAGGAGCTGAGGGCTTGGGAGGAAGAGCCAGACTTGAGCCTTGGGCGTGCAGACTGTGAGGGGATAACACTGAGGGGCTCCTCACTGGGGGAGCAGCTCAGGCTGTTCCTGTGCCACTGCACTGGGAATAAATGGCTTTATGGAGTCACACAGCTGAGACTCTGCTCTGGGAAAGCTGCGCTGGAACCAGGGAGGACTCAGGGGCTGAGTTTGGGAGTGGGGGAGTCCAGCAGGGCCCACTGGGGCACCGGAGCCGCTGCTGTGGAGGGGCTCCGCTCCCAGCACTGAACATCTCTGGTGGCTGCAGCGTGATGGCCAGAGAGCCTCAGGAAGGGTCAGACTGGGAAGTTTCCCAAATATCCTCTTCTGCACAGCTGGCTGCAGAGAGCAGAGCCCTGCTGACCTTCCAGCAGAGCCGCCTGTCCCTTCTGAGCACATCCAGCAGAGCAGCAGTGACGAGGGGAAGGCAGAAACAGCGACTGCTCAGCAGTGAGGAGAGGTCTGCTCAGGGCACAGCTCTGCTCTGCCTCTCCCTCCTGCACTCCACTTCCCTGTGCTGTCTGCTCCTGGTGACTTTCTGTTTGCTTTGCCCTGGGCCACGTTCCAGAGAGAGAGGAGGAGCTGCACTGAATTAAGAACCCCTTTGCCAAAAGCTGCTGCATGTCCAGAAATGTTTCCTGGTGCTCAAGGGGAGGACAGACCCGGGTGAGGAAAAGAGCTCCACTGAGGATAGAAATAGAGAAATGCCAGCAGGGACCCAGGAGAAGTCACAGCCCCAGGGCCCACGGGGCTGACTGAAGGTCAGACAGGAAACACCAGGGCTGCTTTCCCAGCACTGAACCCTGCTCTGTTTCATCCCTCTACCTTTTCCTATTTTGCTGTGCTCTGAAAGGAGGAAAAGCAAATAAATGGCATAAAATGCTCAGAGTTTGAGGGGTTTTCTCCTGAAAGCAGGGCAACAGCATGATGGCTTCTCAAAGAGTACCAGTGAAGAGATGATGTGCATGAGGAGCTGTCCTGAACGTGCCTCTGCCTTTGGTAACTGATGGACACAGACATTTACCTCAGATCACTCGTGGAAAGGTGGATGTGCTTCCAGGGATGGCTCACCCCACTTCTCACAGTCTGACACAAATCACTCTCTCATATTTAGAAGGAGCCCTGATAACTGGTTTATATAGGAAAATTATTTCATGCAGGGCCAGACTGACAATCCTGAGCCAAAGCTGAAGCTTTGAAGCAGAAAAAGAACAGGAAAGGGGAAAGACAGGAGAAGGGAGGAGAAAGAAAAAGAAAATGAAGCGGGGGGGGAGCAGAAAGGAAAAATATGGCCAAAAAAATAAAAACAGCAGCAATTTAGGATACTTTGGGACTCAGCAATACCATTTCAAGGTGCTTCTGGCCTCAAAAACCGGCATTTGGGAACTTCACGGCTGAGAACACAGAAGTTTCAGGAGCACTGGGGCTCAGAAGCACCAACACGGGAGTTTTTGGGACTTGAAACAGCATTTGGGTTCAGAAATACTGATTTAGGGAGCACTGGGGCTCTTAAATACCAATTTAGGGACACACAGGACTACAGAGACCTGATTTGGGGAGTTCAAGGCTGAGAAAAAATCATGTCAGGAGCTCTGGGAATCAGAGAGTGATTTGGGGATTGTTAATAAAATGAAAGCTATAAAATAAAATCAAAAAGAATTAAGAGCAAAACATATATTAAGTAATAAAGTAAATTAAAGTAGAGGTTTTAGTGTAAGTTGCTATTTTATATTAAAGCATATTAAATATAATTTTAGTAATGATTTTTGCAATCTGTGTTCTCAGAGGCGAAGGGTGGAGTGTCGTAGTTTGACACAGAAAAAAAAAACAACAGTAGTTTTATCAACAGTTCACCGCAAAAAAAAAAAAAAGCAGAGGAGCCACAAAGTGCCCAGCTGCCTGTAAAAACTAAAGCCTGAGCAACAAGCCATCTCTAGAAGTTAAAACTTTTAACCCTTCCCAAGAAATAAAAACTTTATAAAATTTTTCTCCTCCTTAATTTAAAAAAAAAAAGAAAAAAAAAGCCTAAAACCCAAAATATTAAAAGAAAAAATTCTAAGTAAAAAGAGACAATAAAGTAGCTTTTAGCTAAACTTTTTCTTAATAACCACAAACTAAACTAATTTTCTCCTCCAAAAAAAACCTATATTTTAAAAAAATACCAGTAAGCCAAAAAAAACCTGCTTCAACTAAAAAAAAAAACAAAAATAAAGCAAACAAAAAAAAGTTAGGGAGGTTTATAATAGTGCCCCCTATCTTCAAAAAAAAAAAAAAAAAAAAAAATTTCTATTCATAGATCCTCAGCCCCAGGGGAAAATGGGAAGGACTGTTAGTCCCAAAAATAAAAAAATAAACTGTTATTTTTTTCCCTCTTGGCAGGGCATCCTTAAAAAAAAAATCCTAAAAAACAGTCAATCCATCCATACATTAATAATAAAAGCACCATACATTAAAAAAAAAAAATCACCACTAGCAAACTTTTTTTTTCTCCAAACAGTACCATATAATAACATAAAAGCACAAAATATAGCAACTATGTTTCTTTAAAAGTCTGTAGCACAAAAAAAACTCCTCTCTCCCTACAAAGAAACTAAATATTAATTATCTAAAAAGTAAAAACCTAATTAAAGTCCAAATTGTGTCTCACTATAATTTGTTAAAGTTAAGTCATAAAAAAAAATATATTTTAAAAAGTTTTCATTTTAAATTGTGTGTTTTCTTTCTTCTTCCCCCCCCCTTTTATAGTAGCATAGTAATAATAATTTAATAAAGTTTTTTTTCCTTATTATTAAGCTTAAACCTACTTTACTCTATTCTCAATCACATTTCACAGCATTCAATTAAAAAATTACATTTTCATAAGAAGCACTAACATTATACCAATGTCAAACCATGACAGGGATATTTTCAGATAAGCAAGAACAATCTAGAGAGCTTCTGTGCTCCAATAAAAACCCAATTAAACAGATTTTGCGCTCTGCAGTCCCCATTTAGGACTCTTTGGAGCTCCAAATCAGTGATTTTAGGAGTTTTTGGGCTGAAAAACATCGATTTTGGAGCAGAAGGAGCAAGCCTGGGGAAACTCGGGAGCAAGGGGCCGGTGCTTACCTGGCACAGGGCTCGGGGGAAGCAGCTCCGCGCTGGGCTGGAGCACCGGGGGCTCCTCATCCCTTTATCCCCCCCTGCCCGGCCCTTCCCACCCCCACGGGCTCCATCCCTCCCTCCCCCCAGCACCTCCTTTCCCATCTTCACACCCATTTCCCCTAAATCACGCTCAGCTGGAAAATGAAAGTGAAAATGCTCCCTGTGGTATGCAGGTTTCAAAATGCCAGAGGTTTGTGCCCAAAATAGGGAAAAAAGCCACAGGTTTATGTCCAAAATAGAGACAACAGGGTCCTGTAACTTTACTCGACAACAGGGTCCTGTAACTTTACCCAAATAAAGGTAGGGGCCATGAGACGTTTACCTTGGGGTCTCTCAATTTTTTTAAGGACACAGCCTCCTTTTCAGTGCTGTTTTCCCATCCACATCACCCTCTGTCTTTCCCTATTAGCTGAGGTACTTGAGAGGTGTCGGAATCTGTGGGTATTGGTGATTCTGAGATTGTAGAAAGTCTCTGTCTTTCTGCCCCGTTGCCAAAGCAGAAGCCATAATTCGTCTGTGCTGTTTTCAAGGTTGTTTATTCTGTTTATCTCTAACATGTTCTGCTGCCCTGCCGCAGCTCTGTCCTGCAGGGCAGCGTGTGGGGCTCTGCCCTCAGTGGGATGGTACAAACATTATATACCAGAAACTACGTGTACTATATTTACAATAATGTGCCAATATCTGTCATCTACATTGAACAGTGAGTCCCCAGCCTAAACCAATAGAAAAATGCCAACATCACCAAGAACATGGAGGTAAGGAAGAAGAAGGAGGAAGAACAGGATCAGGTCCACTTTCCTCCATCTTAGAACTCCTGACCCCCCTGTACAAAGTAAAACCCCCCTGTACAGGTGTTAAAACCCCCCTGTACAATACTAAAAAATTTTTCCCTCTAATTTGTGACTACTTTTACTATACCATCCAACCCTCTGTGACCGCTTGTTCCACCTTTAAAGTTGGTAATTCATTCCATGGCTCAAACTCAAAATCACAGCTGTTCTCAGCTGCTTGCCAGGGTCTAAAATGCTTCTGACCAAGGCCTGGAACCTCTAAAAATGTCTGAGGGACATTTTGAGTTCCGACAGAGAGGTACAGATTTCCCGAATCGCCTAACACATATCAGCTCCCAATATGCACCCCTCTTTTTCTTTGTACCTCTGTTCTCCTTTTCTAAATCCAGGGTTTTAACGTGCCCTTGGATAAGCAGCAGTCTCTGTCAATCAGTGCCATTCCTCTGACATGCGTGGTTCCTCCTGTTGCTTCTTTCATCTGCCAGTATCTGGTTTTATCTACAGGCAGGCTCACAGTTTGTAAAGACATCCTCCCATTCCTTTAACAATTAAATTCAGATGCGAAAATTATGGATAACCCTTTAATTTTTGTACTTGCCTACCCCTCCAAAACCTTTACTAGTAGGAAACTTACTGGAAAAATTGAATGCAGAGATCAAGTTTTGGGACTGTTGCTTCATTCAAACAAGAAAATTTGAATGGACCCTCAGAACCACGTCTGTTGTTAATCCAGCTGTGTTTCTGTTGGCCTCCAAAGTACTCCAGAACATGATTGCCTATAAACAACCAAAGAAGTTGATTCCAAACAATAAGATTTGAAGGGCAGCCTGACAGAGAGCCCAGACTGGGAGCTGCACATGGACAGAAGGAGCTTTGCTCACAAGGAAAACACCTCTGGGTATGTGTGACTAGGCTGAACTAAGGAGTTAAATTGAAGGCTTTAATATCAGGTGTTTCAGCACAGAACAACAACCTGGTTACTCTCACCCAGGCATTGGAACTGAAAAATAAAGAAATTTATCATCTGGATGGATTCTAAGTATGCTTTTTGTGTAGTGCCTGCCCGTGGGGCAATCTGGAGAGGTTTGTTACAGCACAATCAAACACGGGACACAAATATTACTGCTGAAAGCAGTACAAAAACCAGATGAAGCTGCAATTCTGTACTGTAGAACACACCAGACAAGTAAAATAAGGCCAAAATAAAGAAATTACTTGGCTGACAGGGCAGCTAAAGAGGCTGCAGAAAAAGGCATCCACATTTTGGTTCCACATCAAGAGATCAGTGAAAGAGATCTATTAAGCCAGAATATGATGCAAAAGATTTTCAGTTAAGGGATGTATTATAAGCTAGACTTCACCCTGGTGGATGGGCAGTCACCCCTTCTGGACAAGTTAAATTTCCCAAAAAATGATGAAAGAAATAGTAGAGAGCACCAATTTATACACTGGAGTGCAGAAAAATACTTAAGACACTTAAGAAAGACAGTAATTGGCTCCAAGATGACCATAAAGACCTGTTAAGTTTCACCAAGGGATTGGTCATAAAATTCTTAGAAAACTTAAAGATCAAAGCAGCCAAAATACTCAGTGTAACTAATTGTTGGAAATGTTCTCAGCTAATGTTGAGAAGAATGGGGTTCCCTTGGAGGGCCCACCCTGTTCTGAAGTGATATGTGGAATAAATAAATAGACTCCACAACTCGAGGTAGTTATGAAGTGGGTATGTATGACAGCTCCTGGCACAAGTGAGATAACTCTCCAAAATCTTGTGCCCTGAGCTGAAGTTTGCCCCCCAATTTTATTCACAAAGGTGTTCCATATGCAATACATTACACAACTTTTCTGTGCATATTCAACCCCTGGCCCCGCCTGTCTTTGCTTCTCATGCTGAATAGGTCCATGCCCTTTTGTGGGGGCTTTTATGGGGGTCCCTGGTGGTCGTTGGGCTTCAGACCATCATCTTCCTCTGCATTGAACTTTTGAACTCTTCTCCTCTGCGCTTGTGCTTTTGGTCCTTTGCTCTCCTATCTGGATAAGTTCATCATCCTTGACATGTTTGGAGACAGAGGGGCTTCCTTGTCTGAAGTCTTTACATTCCTGGTCTTTTCCGGTATTTGTCTTTTTGCAAGAAGCTTTAAAGATCTTTGTTTTCTTTCCTATGCCTTTTTGTGCAGAGGTTTCTTAAAATTCAACACATGATTCTACAAACATGATACATTCATTTTTGATATATTCATTTTTGATATATTCATTTTTGATACATTCATTTTGTTAGCTCAAGTGATCTCTGGAAAATCTTTTGTTTCAGTTCTAGTTCTACAGGCCACGGTGTGAGAGGATTTCTGTGCTTTACCATCACTCCCAGTGCCAGCAGAACTCGGGGTGCCACACCACCACTCCTCCCAGCTTCAGGGCCACTGGGAAACTCCTCTGGCCCAAAGTCACTGGGAGCACAACAGCAGCACAGGGAGGATCCATCAGCAGCCTACAGTGGGAAACAGGAAATCAGACCTTTGGTACTGGGAATTGGAGCTGCTGGGTGTGTGGAGACTGCCCATAAACAGCTTCCTAAAGGGTGGTTTGGGTCCTGTTCTCAGGCAATGTTGGTGCCTCCCTTTAGGGTACTTCAGCAAGGAAGAGCTGGGGCCAAGAGCAACAACCACAAGGAAGAGTTGGGGCAAAGAGCAACAACCACAAGAGTTGGGGCCAAGAGCAACAACCACAAGGAAGAGTTGGGGTCAAGAGCAACAACCACAAGGAAGAGTTGGGGCAAAGAGCAACAACCACAAGAGTTGGGGTCAAGAGCAACAACCACAAGGAAGAGTTGGGGTCAAGAGCAACAACCACAAGGAAGAGTTGGGGCAAAGAGCAACAACCACAAGAGTTGGGGCCAAGAGCAACAACCACAAGAGTTGGGGTCAAGAGCAACAACCACAAGGAAGAGTTGGGGCCAAGAGCAACAACCACAAGAGTTGGGGTCAAGAGCAACAACCACAAGGAAGAGTTGGGGTCAAGAGCAACAACCACAAGGAAGAGTTGGGGCCAAGAGCAACAACCACAAGAGTTGGGGCCAAGAGCAACAACCACAAGGAAGAGCTGGGGCCAAGAGCAACAACCACAAGGAAGAGTTGGGGCCAAGAGCAACAACCACAAGAGTTGGGGCCAAGAGCAACAACCACAAGAAGAGTTGGGGTCAAGAGCAACAACCACAAGGAAGAGTTGGGGCCAAGAGCAACAACCACAAGAGTTGGGGCCAAGAGCAACAACCACAAGGAAGAGTTGGGGCCAAGAGCAACAACCACAAGGAAGAGTTGGGGTCAAGAGCAACAACCACAAGGAAGAGTTGGGGCCAAGAGCAACAACCACAAGAGTTGGGGTCAAGAGCAACAACCACAAGGAAGAGTTGGGGTCAAGAGCAACAACCACAAGAGTTGGGGCCAAGAGCAACAACCACAAGGAAGAGTTGGGGCCAAGAGCAACAACCACAAGGAAGAGTTATGCAAACTTTTCTCCTAATTTGGGAAGCAGTACCAGGTCACTTGAAACGTAAACTTTAAGGCATTTAGAGATTTTGAGGAGGTAAGATTTGAGTTAGAAATAAGCCTTACTAGAGTTAATTAAAATAAGAATAATAAATGAATAGGCCTTGATGAAGTTAGGAGTTAGTAGTTAACTAATAATTAATTGCTTGTCAGCACAATGTTTGGTTAGCTGGGTTTATAATGAAGAATATAGAAACTGATAAATAGCTTTTAGGAACATAAGACAATTTTGGGCCCCCTCTGTTCTGAAACCAATTGAGGACAAGGAATGGGAGTTCTACCAAGAGTTCATTTGTCATATTGGCATTGAAAAGGTAGAAAGGTCAGAACGAGGAAGACTTCATTTACTTCCTCATTTTGGGACCCCTCCCCATGAAAGGGACCAGCGACCCATTTCAAGGGACAAACCACACGTGCTGAATGGATTTTGGAGTGATTAGCATACGAAGCGGGAAATGGGATGTACCAAAATTATGAATATGTATTTGTATTTTGTATATTCAATACTTGTATGGATAAAAAGACTCTGTAATCACCTGGAAGGTGCGGTGTGTATTTGGGAGCCATCCCACACACAATAAACACACACTTTCTAACTTTAAACTGTTAGAGAGTTTTTGTCCGTCACAGTTGGATATCGATACTAGATCAATATCCATATTTTTTAATAAATCACACTGGGAACTCAGGTTTGACTTTGGGATCACCAACCACCAGGGACCACCAAAGAGACGTC